TGACTGAATCACGCAAAGGAAGAGGCTACTTGGGAGCTAGAATCATACTCATACCCCAATACCCCTAGCTGTTTAACTAATGAGAGGGTGACAAATTTGAGAGACCAAATTTCTTCTTAAGGGGGAGAGAGTTATAACACTCGGGCCAAAATTTTAGCCCGGGATAATCTTTTATTTATTTATATATATATAAATAATTAAAATTTATTATAATTTAATTTTGTTAAATTTTTGAGAAAAAAAATATATTAAGGACGAAAAAAAATAAAAATAAGGGGTAAAATCGCAAAAAGAAAAAGTTTGGCCACATGGGACAGCTTAATCAGCAGCTACGGCGAACCAGGACACGCCTGTGGAGGGCACACTAGCATCTGTTCCACGTGGGCGATCCGCGTGTCTAAGCGATCCGATAGCCCAGATCGCATTCCGCGCGCACGAACGACCCAGATGCATTCCTTTTTTAGATGCGATCGAATTGGCGAGATTGATCGTGATAGATGATCCAGATTCGTCCACGCCATCGACCTAAATAAAAAATTATCGAATGGTCCTCCTCACTTCATGTCGACTCGAACAAGCGGCTTGGATCAGATGGAGATGAGTATTTAAACTCCTCTTCATAGGGAACAAAAATCCTAATCGACACTCAGCTGGAGAAGAAGAAGAAAAAGACGACTGAAGGGAAGACTAGTTGGCGGAGGGACGCTACCGCCGCTGCACCGGAGCCACTGTCGTCCGCCTCAAAAAGTAAACATTTCTCTTTCCTGCTTGGAATTCAATCATGAGTCTCCCTATGACCATATCAGAATAAAATGGTTGACGAATGAGTTGGAAACTGCGGGCAATGCTCGACCGAGCCGCCGCAACCAAAACTCAAAACCCTCTCTGATGAGACCATTTCTGTTTTTTGTTTTGTGTAATTTTTTTACCATCGTGTTCACCATCTTTTTCTGGTGCAGTTTAGTTGAAGGAGAACTTCAGCCGCGAAGAAGGACTGGCAGAGTCGCCACACCCAGAGACCTTCTACTGGTAAGGTTTTGGCTTTTTGTCTTTTTCGGCCAACCAAGGCCTCCTAACTTATTTTTTTGTAGGTTTACGTATAAAATCGGCCAAAATTGGTCATGCCGAGGCGAACCATTATCGTGCCGGAACTCTAAATTGGCCGAAAAAGTTTCTCAACGCGTATTTGGCCTTTTGGTATTTTTGGGCACGTGACGGGTGTTTTAATTTTCGCAAGAAAAATCCAAGAAATCTAAAGACCGCCAAAAGGCGCAGTGAAAAGTACAGTGCTTTGGATACCGATCCAAGGTAAGAATCTCTCACCCTTTTCGTTATTACGGTAAATTGAAGCTTAACAATTGATAATACTGTATTTTATGAAAATTAGAAAATCCTAAAAATATTTTCAGGTCACTAGTGGAGCTGAAACCTGTCAGTTCATATTTGTCCTACTTTACTGTTTACTTTCCATTGTACTGGTTAAAATATTTATTATTACGTTGTTTGCATTAAATTGCTAGTTTTAATTGTGTTCTCGGTTATTTAGTTCACCTAACTGCATAGCCTTCATTTGTTGATTCGTTTTACAATAAATGTCTCAATCGTATTTTTCTTTATGTATGTATCGCCTATTTGCATGATTTACCGTTGATATATAAATATGATATATTGGTGCTTAACTGGTAATTAGTTAATAGTGTGAATATATGTAGGAAAGACTTACTGGATATCTTGAGAAATGGTGAACGGACCTAGTACATAGACTGTGAATATTTTCTCAGTCAGATGGGGCTGAGAAATCCCATACTGAAAAGGGTTTGGGAGATATGACTCACCCTCATACTGGACGGGGTATTGAAACGATAGTATTTGGCGCCTATTACTATATGGGGTATGGTGACGACCAGTTAATTGACAAATTTAGATATTAGGTTCACGCGTAGGGGGACATCTTTATGTGCTCCAGAAGTACCAGTAAGCAGGTAAAAAAGAAATTCGTTTTTCTTGTTCATTTGTATATGAAATCATAATGTTATTTAAGTTATTGTCTTTATAGGTCGATTTTAGAAACTCGTGACGGTAAGTGTAGAATAAATGATTTTATGTTAAATGAATTTACTAAAATTAAAGGCTCAATTAGTTATTTTATAATTTTTACTGACATTTGATTTTTCATGTCAGTTATTAGTATGATATTCTTACTGGGTTACTATAACTCATCCCCTTATTTAACAATTTTAGATCAAGAAAACTAAGATTCAGATCCTGAACAGCAGGAGGGTTGCAAATAAAGGTTACCTCCTAGATTCCATTAAAATTATTAGTGGAGGTTAACCTCATAAGATTTTAGTTTCATTTTTGTTCTGTTATTTTAACTCTTATAAAAAAGAGAACATTTCTATAAATTTATTGGGCATCCCAAGTTACAGTGTAAGGAATGTAAATCCTAATTATTATTTACTTCCGCTATTTTAATATATATCTATATTCTTAAGGTTTCGAGCCTTTATATTGAGACACCTAATATTTGTTCGAGCATTCCTCCACCAATTTAAAAGTAAACTTTAACACTCAATTGAAATTTAAACTGCCAAACTAATTTGTGATTATAATTTTCTAGACATAAAATCAATATATATCTAAAAGACAAAACTAAATCTATATTTTTTGTGTCTTAATATAACCAAACCCTATGAAAGAAAAACCTATAGAGAAGACAAGTTCTTTTTTTGCTTTTTCTCCTCCCCTTTATATGATTTTGATACACAAGTTTTGAAAAGAATCTTCCTCATCCCAAATCACTCACACACAAGATCTTCGTTTCTATTCTATTGAAAAAACTATTTAAAATTAAATATCACTAGTCTTACACATGCAATATTTAGATTTTAACCCTAGTTTTGAGAGTTCTTTCTTAAAATTTATGACGAAATGATCCTATAAGTGTGTTAAAGAAAAGAGAGCTTATGAGATACTTACAAACACTCAAAGAAAAGTATGAATCACGTTAAATTTAGCAGAGTAAAACTAAAAGAAATATATAAATTAGTTTTAGATATTATTTATTTTTTACAAGAAATTGACTGAGAGCTTCCTAAGCTCTTAAGGTTGATTGCACTTAATTTTTCTCGTCCATTTAACTCTAATATATCAATTAATATAGTCTATATTCCATGGATATCAAATTATAATTTTTAGTGTTAAAATTAAATCAAAATATTAAGTGCTGAACAAATTAACAGTGATACTTTAATTATTTATTTAACATTAATCATTGAAGATAAATATTAAAACTTAAAAATTCACTAATTTACTATTATTTTTATGTACATTATTAATATGAGAGTCGAATTATTTTAGTTGAGATATTTAATTAATAAAATATTATAATAACTTTTACCTTATCTAGAGATTAAAATAGTATTTAATTTGGTTTAAATTTTTACTTTAAGATTTTAATAATTTTATTAAACTTATTTTATTTATTTTTTTTTCAAAAAACTTGTTTTATTGATGGTGTAAAATAAAATAGAACATTTTTTTTTCTTTTTTTTTTTTAACCGTGGGATAATTTAACGTAAATAAGCAATTAACCACAATTGATTTGGCTTCATTCCACTCCCAAAAAAAAAAAAAAAAAGCTTCATCAACTTTGTATTTCTTTTTAATTTCTTCTGTCTCGTTGGATTTCAACAGAGAGAAAAGGGAAAGGGGAGGGAGGTTTCGGGGAATAGAGATGTGGGAATCGATCTGCTTGACGCTGGCGGCAACTGCCGGTAACAACATCGGAAAAGTTTTGCAGAAGAAAGGCACCGTAATCCTGCCTCCTCTCTCCTTCAAGCTAAAGGCATCTCTTTTTCCCTATTTTCTTCTTTCTTTCTTTTTTTTTTTTTTTATCACGCATATTCTGTATCCAATCGTATATCTTACAGTTTAGCCGGATATCCAATTTTATATTTATCTTTTACATACTGTGAATGTGTTGGAAGTTTGAAGTTTGAACCAAATTCTGATTTTCCTCTTTATTCTAATTTCAGTATCGTTCGCAGGAAGTTATATTTTCTTTAATGTCGATTAGGTATTTGTATAGGATTTTACAGCATAAGGAGCGTTGCATGAATTACTCCGTGACAGAATATAGAAATAACGGACATAATTGGGAAGATTGATGGGGAATTAATTAGCAACATATTAATTATAAATTAGAAGATTTTTGCTCTTGACTGGTGGAGATATTGATTGAAGATTCCTTCCTTACAGTTGAGAAATGATTTACTTTTCCGTAAAAGTAGATAAACGATTTATATTGTTTTTATGGTAGGAACAGAGTAAATCTTTGCTGTGAAGGTTCGCCAACTTAACATGCTTCTCTTTTCCCCCCAGGTGATCAGGGCTTATGCTGTTAATAAAATTTGGGTGATAGGGTTCCTGATGGATATTTTTGGAGCCATGTTGATGTTGAGGGCACTATCCCAAGCTCCTGTAAGTAAACCCAAGCATCAAAAGCTTTCATATTTCTATTGTCAGTCAATTTTATAAATATTGTAATAATTGACATGCGAACATTTGAAATGAGAACTGGAGTATCAGCGGAAGACTAGTTTTGACTTCTATTTTATGGGTGTTAGCAACCAAGAATCTTGGTCATGATTCTGAAAATTTTATTGGTGATCTTATTTTATCACCGCCTTGTGTTTGTTTCTGCATAATTTGTAACTTAGGAAGTGTACTACTCTCAGGTATCTGTTATCCAACCAGTTTCTGGCTGTGGACTTGCAATTCTTTCTGTATTTTCCCATTTTTATCTTAAGGAGGTCATGAATGCAGTTGACTGGATGGCAATTACTTTGGCTGGTATTGGCACCATAGGTAATGTAAGTTTCTCATGATTCTTGCTGTTGATTAGTATACACAGAATTCATCTTGTAGGTATTCACTGATCCAAAATATTGCCATTTTAATTTAAATTTGAATCAAAAGGGAGGATAGTAACCATCCTTTGTTATGAATGAGATCAGTCGACTTCTTCTCCGGTGGAAGTCTTCTTGTGCATATTTTTAGTGTATGATCTTCAGAGAAAAAATAAAGTACAACTGCCTCATAATGACAAGTTGCTAATGTTTCCTCTAATAATTTTTTGGGCTATATGGAATTATAATTTATTTGCTTTTTTCTTTCTGTTTTGTAGGAGTTGGTGCTGGTGGAGAGGAGCAAGAAGCATCTTCTATATCCATTTTCCAGTTACTGTGGCTAGCATTGCTTGTTGCCATCTTGTTTGTAGGTACCTTTTCCTACGTGCCATCTGCTAGAATGATACCGTGACATATAATATTTTGTAATATTTCATAGGTATCTATTGAGTGCACATGTAATATTAATTTTTTACGACTCTGACATTGCATATTCTGTGATGTAGTTATAAAACCTTTGGGCAAAATGTTTGCCCATATTGATTAGGAAGCTCATCATCTTGAAGTGATATCTGTAAAAAATGAAGTATGAATTTTATTGAATAATGTCGCATTATATATAGGTTTTAAGAATAATAAAAGGAAACACTTTTGACTACATGAGAGAGGTACATTCTTACTATACCCTTTACCCTACTTACTATTTAAATATACTTCTCAACACTTTACTTCAAGTTGGTGAATAGATATTATCAATTCCCAGCTTGCCAATAATAATTTGAAACCTAGGATTACTCAACTTTTGGTCAAACATCCGTGAGTTGCAGAGTAGTAGGCATGTACAATGAGCATATTAATTAATTGTCCAACTTTTTCTTGATAAAGTGTCGACTAATTTTAGTCGTCCTGTCATGTTGTTCAGGGTTTGTGGGTAATGTTAATTGCTGACTTATTTTCGCAACAGAGTCTCATAAGTATCTCTCGTTGAATCTTCAAGTCTTCCAAAATCATCTTCAACTATTATCTCACATACCCTTAAGCCATGGTCTTAAACTTTGAGTTGGCACTGGATTGGGATATTACATTCTACTTCTTACTTCTTAAGTCACTTGGTTACCTCCAAGAAATATGTGGTATTCAGATGACCTTTTATTGACTAAGGAACTTGCATAGTTAGAATCGTTACATGTTTTAAGGAGCAACCCATTATTTATCTTGAACATTATTTCCTTTTTTATAGTACCCTTTAAATAATAGAGTATCTTATAGGCAACTTATTTATGCATTTCTCTGGGCTTGTGCATGAGCTAACTCACTACATTCGCTGCATTTGCAATATCTAACCTTGTATATAACAAGTATATCAACTTCCCCACTATCCTTTGATACATTTCCTTCTCCGCCTTTGGGTTTTCCTCTGCAAGTCTCAATTTGTGATTAGGAATAATTGGTGTATTAGCATATTTGCATTTTAGTTTGCCACTTTCCTTCAAAAAATCTGGAATATATTTCTGTTGAGATATTAGTATTCTACACTTAGAGTAGGCCATCTTTATCCCGAGAAAATTTTAATCTTCTCAATTCTTTAATCTCAAATTCTTTAGCTAGTCTTTGCTTGGATCATCTTCTCCCATTCATCATTTTTTGTAACAGTTATATCATTCAGTAGAGCTGTGACTCCTCATAACTCCAAGTGTTTGATAAATAGGAAGTCATCTCTCTGACTTTGTTTGTAGCTCATGGATAGCATCACTTTGGCAAATCTCCCAAACCATGCTCGAGAAGATTGTTTAGGTCCATATAGTGTTTTTTTTTAGTTTGCATATCTTATTCTTCTCTTCTCCTTTAGCAAACCTGGGGGAAGTCTCCATATAAATTTCCTCTTCTAATTCTCTATGCAGAAAGACATTCTTCATATTAAATTATTGTAATTGCCAGTTGAAGTTAGCAGTTAGGGATAGTAGGATCACATGTCGTATTCATCTTTGCAATGTGTGCAAAGATATCTTGATAGTCACTAGTAGGTTTGGGCATATCTTTTGACCACCAATTTTGCATTGTATCTTTTAATAGTTCTTTCATACTTATATTTAATAGTGAACACTCATTTGTTGCCTACGATCTTTTGCCTTTAAGTAGATCCATCACTTCCTAGGTCTGGTTTTTTCAACTGCTTGCATTTCAACATTTGCATCATTTTTCTATTCCTTATTAGTTGAAATCTTATATAATATTTTGAGAATAGATACTGTATTCAAGTTCATAAGAAACTTTTTGTGAGTTGGAGAAAAATTTCCAAAGATACGAAGTAGGAAATTAGATAAGGTGGATGCTTAGTGCATTCTCTAGTCCCTTTTTTAAGTGCAATAGACATCATTACCAAAGGGATAGTGATTCTCAAAGTTTATCTCATTTCCAACACCTGGCTTAGATTCTTGAACCTGTTTTAGACCAGAGTCAAAGATTTTCTTTCTTGAATGCACCTGTGTAAAATGTGGGTCCTGTATGGATTGAGGTTCAGGCTCATCATGTGAGGCTTAAGGCTTAGATTATTTTCTGGGTTCTGATCTTCTGGTGAGATAATGAGCTTAAATAGTATTAGCAAAATGCTTTAAGGGCAGGGAAGGAATGTCAAAAGATGAGTCTTTTGAGTCTCTTGTATTTTCCAGTATAGTCTTCCCTCGAAGATAAGATTAGTCCAAGAAAAATTCCATATCAACAAAGGTTACATCAATCAGATACATAAAATTTCTTTGTGGATGGGTGGTAAGACTTGTATTCTTTTTGAGTGAATGAATATTCCATTAAGACACACTTGATGACTCTTGAGTCAGAATTTCCTCTTTGAGACTGATGCATGTGAACATAAGTAATAGACTCAAAGACACAAGAGATAAGGTTATTAGTGACTTATGCCTTTGGAAAGAATATAGTTAGAACTGACATCGGACTTTGAAAGTCTAGTACTCCAGATGGTAACTGGTTGATAACATTTATGGTAGTTAAACACGACTTCCCCCCCAGTAATGTTTAGATACATGGTTTTGAAACAACAAGGCACTTGTAGTAGTAAACGAGTAAATTCATTCTACTGACTCTATTTTGTTGTGGAGTTTGGAATCAAGAAGATTTATGAACAATTTATTCTTTTTTAAAGTAGTAGGTCAAGTTTTGGTTAAAATAATCTTGGATATTATCAAATATAAATCATTTAATTGTGGCTCCGAATTGTGTTTAAATTATGATATGAAACTAGGGAACAATACAATCAAATTTAGTTTTCGATTTTAGTAGGAAAAGCCAAACAATCCGAGTATAGTCATCAATAAAAGAAACAAGCCATAGTACCCTAGAGATGTTAGGAATATTAGATAGATCCTAAATGTCACTATGAATTGGTTGAAAAAAAAAATTACTTTTTCTATTACTAGGAACAATGGTTACAAGTCAATGTTTAGTTAGTTCACATACATAGCAATGGAAATTTTCATTATTGCAATTAGAAAATAAAGAGGGAACATGGCCTTGAAGGTGAAAAAAGAAGAGTGCTCTAGTCTCTTGTGATACAATCGTAGCTTATCTAATGTGTTGGTAGGAAGAATGAAGCCAGGTACATCAAGTGTATTCGGGAAGTATAACTTGTCTTGAGACTTAGTACATCTAATCATCCTACTCAAATTTTTGGTTCTAAAGTTTACAAAGAGGAGAAGAAATTACTTTGCAGTTAAGGTCACGAGATAATTAGGTTACTGATATAAGATTTATACAGTTTAGAGACATTGAGAACATCCCCAAGAGTAAGGTGAGGATTAAGGTCAAAAGATAATTTGGTTAGTGCCCGAATTTGGTGGGTATTAACTTGTCTCTAACCTTAGCACATTCAATCATATTGCCGTAATTTTGGTCCTAAAATTCACAAAAAAGAGAAAAAAATCACTTTACAATTAAGTTAATAAGATAATTTGGTTATTGATACAAGATCTATACACAATTTAGGTAATGGAAACATCCTTAAGAGTTAGGTGGAGATTAAGTTTTATAGTTCCAATTCCTGCAATTATAATTAGTTAACCATCAGCAATAGTAATCTTCCTATTGCTAGGACATGAAGTATAAGTGTTAAACAATTTAGAGGAGTTGATCCTATGGTCGATTGTTCCTGAGTCAACAATATATGATAATGCAAAGGATTTATTGAGGCGTTTAAACCATGGGAAATAGGAAATGGACTTGAATGTGTTATGAGACATCTATCTTTAGGTTTTTCAAGTTGCTCAAGTCTGGTCCACAATTGCTCAGTTTCTGCATTGAAATCACAGGTTTCTGAATTCTTCTCTTCTAGGTTACATGTACCTGTCCTTGATTTTTCTTGTATTCCCAATCCTTGATAAAGGTGGTCAGCTTTTCATGAAGTTTCCGATAATTTTTTTTGTGTATGTTGGTTTCTCGTAGAAGGTACATCAGCGATTTTTCCTGTTCTCCATGCCTGTAGCTGAGGTTGCACTGTGACTTAGTTCCTTCCCCAATTAGTGTGGTTTGGAACCCTTAATAATCATAATGGAGCCATCTGTTGTGCAAGATTCAACCATAACTCTACATATGCTTTCTTCCTCTGCACTAATTAAGGATATCACTTCATTTAGGGATGACATCTTTTCCTTCTCGAACTCTCATCTGATCATGTTCCTCACTAACTCCTGCCACAGATTGGTATGTGCTATCTTTCTCAATGGATCTTTCTAAGTTTGCTGCGCCTTTGCTATTCTTCATAGTGATACTGTGATATTGATCATGTTCTTACCATAAGCCTATAAGAAGCTATGACTATCTCGTTATCCTATTTAGCTGTCCAGATTTTGATGGTTAGATCATACATCTAGGCTGTATCTTTTTCCTTGGAATATGTTTCTCGGATTGAATCCCAAATTTCCTTTGTTGTAAGTAGGCATATAACTGGTTTACTAAATTTTGGTGCCATAGACTTCCAGAGTTAGACCTTAATCATAGAATCCTCCTCATCGTAAGCATTGAAAGTGAGACCTTCTGGCTTTGATCCAATGGCAAAGAGATAGCTTAGTTTTCCTCTGCCATTGAGAGTGGTTTGAATCAGTTGTGACCAACTCAAGTAATCTTTGCCGTTGAAGTGGTAGGTGACCTAGATTTGCTGAAATTCACCATAGTTCTATGCTGAGTTTCCCATGTGGAGATTTGTTTCAGTACTTTGGGATGTAACTTCCGATATAATCTTAAAAGCTTGAGGCAGTGAAGGCCTATTAAATAAGCTAAAAATAAGGGTTTTAGCGGCTAGTCAATGGCTGTGGTGTGGCTGAGTAGTTGTAGCTGGGGGTTGCTCGAGTGACTGAAGCTGCTGGTCAGGGTTTGTGCAACAGAGGGTAGCTGCATTGTGAAGGCTGGCTGTATATCAGCAGAGGGACAGACCTGCGGCTGGTGGCGGCTGCAGAGGACAGCATTGCAGAGCGTTGCTGATGATGATGAAGGCTGGTTTTGGCTGCTGGTGGCCAGCGGCTGGTATGGCTGGCAGCTGGACTAAGGTGTCCGGCTATGAAGGCTAGCCTTGCCTCTCTAAAATCTTTCTTATTTTGGCAATAAAGGTTGAATAGAGTTTGTAAAAGAGTTTATGGTTTTTATAATAGGGAGATTTTATTCAAAATGGATAATGAATTATGAATTTGTTTGAATAATAGGGCCCAGTGTATAAAGGTTTGTTGAACAACAAAAGAAAACACTATTAATTACATGAGAGGGATATATTACTGATATATCCCTTGCCCTACTTACTATACAAATACACTTCACAATCATATCCATGTCATGGAGCTCTGGCATTGCAAATTCCATGACATGGATATTATTGTGAAATATGTTTTATTGATGAAGATTAGTAATATAATTAGTTTATATCTAGATTGTTGCCACTTCCCAGCCCCCCACTTCTCCATCTCCTGGTATAATTTATTAATACATTCATAAACAATGAGGAAGTAAATTTGGAGGATCTATTTCGTTGTACTTCAATTAAAAACAGAACCTGTTTGGCGGATAATCAACTATTGAACTCTTTTCTATATTGAGGACCTGATGGAAGGGGGGCAAATCTTATTTTCTTAACATTGGCTTTTGGTGTGGAAGAACTAGGCTTGAAACTGGCATTCACTAGTTGCCTAGCTACTGAAATTATTATCATATGCGGATGAATCCCTCAGTAGTTGTGCTTTATTTTTAAGGATGGTGATTGTGATGCTTCTGACTGTTCAGTTATTATTAATTTTTTTGAATAGGTACTCCTAAATGGGTGGCTTCATATCTTCAAACGGCAGCGAAGAGAACAGGAGATGGTACAATTCTGGTTCACTTATGTCCCATGTTCTATTAATATCATTTGCATAGGTAGTACTATCCTTTTCTTTTTTGTGCTTCACAACCAACCCCACTTCTTTGAATTACATTGCTGTGCAGGTAGAATATGAAGTTGTTGAAGAAATTATATATGGCTTGGAATCTGGCATTTTGTTTGGGTAATGTTTCACATAAAACTCTTTTATCTGGAATTTTCCTCCGCTAAAATTTATGATTTCTTATGGACTAAATTTTGGGTGGGGATTTATTGACATGCCAGACTTTGAGCTGGTAATAGAACATGGTTTGCAATGACTGAGGCAAATCGAGTGTCTATGACAGAGCTCTGTAGGCTGTTGATATTGTTACTGTATGCTTCTTGGAAAATGTTCATTCGATCAGTGCACTGAAGATTCTTTTTTGGAAGGAAAGTACAAGATAATATAAACAAAGTACCAAGGGGTTGCTCATATATGTAAGACATCTATAGGTCAATCAGTATATCCTTGAGATCTCCTAATCCCTCATGAACAGAGAGGATGACTCTCGAACGAACAACAAAGGTTTTGGTACCATCTCTCAGTCTGTCAGAAGAAAAACCTACATCTCTCATTCGAAATAACTTACAAAGTAGCAAAGGGAACAAGAGATAAAATTAGCTTCCTTATTCTATTATTGCCTTGGAAACTCTACCAAGCCAATAACTTAAACAGATCCAACACCAACCCAACTCAAGTTAAGAAAATGAAAAGCCATGCAGGCAGTAACAGAAAGGACACCACAATATCAGATGATGAATCTCGATTTTCCCTTGACACAAATAACAATCCTTGTGTAGGTCCTTCCCCCTCTCCGGATGATTATGAATAATGAGAATAACAACCTCTAATAGCTTCTATAGGTTAAAAGGGCAATTCTAGCCAAAGCATTATTCTTCCAAATCTCACCCATGGAAAAAATTCCTCACGTAGATGAGCAATGGGTATTTCGCAACGTCCATGAAGGTTTATCCCATCCGGGGGATCCACCTTGCAGGAAGAGAGGTGGTGCAAGAGCTTAATATATTTTCTTCTTCCCCTCCCCTTCCCTGTACCATACACCCTCAATAACATCCACATCCACCAGGAGGTTTTGCACTTCAAAACACAAGTAACTGAACACTTCTATATTTTCCAATCCACCAACTCAAACCTGCATTTATCTCATGTAACAATAACTCCTCCTGAAGCCCCCATTGCAGGAAGGTTTTGCCAGCCAACATTCTTTTGTTTCCCCAACCCATGCGCCATGGAGTCTGACGAGGACCCAATTTAGTTCTTGAAAGCATGCTAAATCTGGATTCCCTTGGACAGCAAACCTTGATGACTGCTCCAATATTAAAGTCATTCAAGCCCCTCAGACTTAATCAAATTATTTTCAGTAACATAAGAACTCAATATTTCCCCTACCTCCCTGGTCTGCTTCAGTTTTCATAATTAACAGAATTCTACAATCTCCTCAACTTGATGAATCTAATCTGCTGCAGCTTTCTTCCTTCCCTATGACTTTGGTCATTTAGACCTTGATGTTACCCCTCTTTTCTATTCAGTAGCCCTCAAAAGATTAATAGCCTGCTCTTTGAATCTGTCAAAACTCAACCTCATAGTGGCTCTCTATTGGGCCGTAAATTGTGCACAAATGTTGAGTTCCAATTAATGCAATTATTTGTCGACTACAGGTATTAGGTATTCAAAATATTTCTATTTGATATTTCAAAAAAAAATATATTTCTTTTTGAGATGCAGTGATAAAATTTCTAAATGCAAAATCACAAAAGTTCTGCTGTTGTTTACGTGTCTTACATATCCCAAAGTGTAACGTAAACTATTCCAAATGCAGGATGGCAGCTGTAGTATCGAAGATGGGATTTATCTTTGTTGAGCAGGGCTTCTCCAAGATGTTAATTCCAATATTCATCTCCTTCAGTGTATGTTGTAGTGGAACGGGATTTTACTACCAGGTATCAAACATCTTATAGTTTTTCTCCCATATCTATGCCGATGTACTTGAAATAGCTTCTTTAGTCATTTATAAGCTGGTGAAATTTTTTGTGTGAAGAGAGCATGTTTGCAGTACTGACATTTAAACTTAATTTTCAAACTTTACACCTGTGCACCAAGTGCACAGTATGATATAGAATAGAATACCTTTAGATTGCCTATATAGGTTATAAATCATAATTCTTTCAAACATAAAACTAGTATACTATTTAGGCATCTATTGTTATACTTTTAGTAAGTTAAGGAGTTTATTCTTATTAATATTTAGTTTTTCTATTTGTATTAAAAGTAATATTTCTAATCTTATTAGAAATATCCCCTATCTTAATAGTTCTAGTATTTTTTTAGTTTAATTCCATCAGTATAAAATATTTAGGAAAAATTATAAATATTTTTGTAATTACTTTTCTTTAGATAGAATTCAGTTATTCTTTTTTTTTTTTTTTTATAGAGAAAAGCAGAATTCAGTTATTCCTTTTTTTTTTTAAGCAGAATTTAGTTATCCAGTAAAATATTTCGGGAATTTCTCAATTTCCTAATTTTATGATACAATCAAATTATTAATTATGATGTTCAAAACTTTTTAAATATGATATGTAAGAAAACTTGGGTTTAATATCTAAGCTCTTGTCCCTAAACACCCAAGTGGAAAAATCAATCCTATTTGTCCTACATTACATATCAATTGACTTGGTTCGACCTTTGAAAATCGGTCCTTTTTGGAGCTTGGTTCGTGGGCATTTGGGATACTATTGAACTATTTCAATGAGAAAATTTTAGTAACCCTTGTAAAATTACATTAACATAATAAAGATTGATTAAATATATACGTACTTTAAAATAGAATAATTTATTCCTCTTAAATATATATATATATATGTATTAAAGTGAGTTAAAGACTTAAATATCTTTAAATATTTTCTAAGAATTTTAACATATCATATTCTTTCTTCTTTTTAAAGTTAATTTAACAAAAAAATCAAAAATTTAATATATATAAAAAATAGATGATATGTTAATTATAAATTGTTAATAGATTATATTAATATAAATTAATATTAAAATTTTTATTACATAAAACATCAGTATATTAAACTAAAAAATTTAGGATCACAATTTAAAGAAAAACCGAAGAAAGTATCTAATCGACCACTTAAATCTAGCTAGTAGCTCACAATAGGAGAGAAGTAAATGTTTATTTTTCTTAAATTATATAGTATTAGGCATGTAATTTAATAATTAAAATTTAAAAATAATAAACCTTAAGGTTTCGTTTCGTCCCATGTGATGTAGTCTACAGTTCAATCATTGTTGTTTCTTTTTTCTACTTCAGTGGCTATGGTTTGATCTTTAATGATTAGATCACTGTTGGTGTCTCATGTGAATGTAATAAGGGGCGGTAAAGGATTTTGAATCTGCAAATACAATAAAATTTTCCATACCTTTCAGGAAAAATTGAGTAGCTTGTAGTTTCATCTTTCTGTCATTTTTTAAGAAAAATCCTCAGTTCATTAAAGACAGCAAAATGTGTCTGGGCTTTTTAAGAGTAAACAAACAAATAAATTACAAAATAATAGCTTAAAAAATTAATAATCTTATGTAAATTAAGAGTGTTTTGCATCTTAAGGGAGGATGAGTGTATATTTTCAAAATGCAGGACATAAACTGTAGAATTCATCAAACTGTAGGGTAACTATCGTACTTTTGTTGACTTTAAACAGACTCGAGGACTAAAACATGGGAGGGCAATTGTTGTATCTACATGTGCCGCTGTAGCATCAATTATAACTGGTGTGCTTGCTGGTATGCTTGCTTTAGGTGAAAAGTTGCCTTCATCACCATTGGCACGATTTTCCCTGCTGCTTGGATGGTAATATATGTCTCAATATAATTTACTGTCGCACTTTTACTCTTTGCTTCCTATCAAACTTATATGATATGATTTCAGGAGGTCATTAACTTGATTGAAATTTATATTTGAGTAAAATTCTTTGTGATAGTCCAAAATAATGTGCCTATAAACTCTAGTTTTTGGTTTTATGGGAAACTAGAGTGTTTTTTGGTGTATGAAAATATTTTCTAATTCTCATTTTTGAAGTTTATATGTGTTCTATCACTAAATGATACAAAGTTAACGGTGAAGAGAATGGTAATAAATTTGATTATGGAATTAGAAAGTTTTTAAATGGTCTAGTGTTTTTTAGTACTTTTTTGAAAATTATTACATAAATATAATGCTCTTAACATTAATGAATAAAAACATGTATATACATGAATTTAGAAATAAAACTTTAAAACTTTTTCATTTACAAAATGAAGTCCAGACACGTTATATGATGGGCGGAATAGTCTTAGGCTTCACATTTAGACTATGAAAATGTTCATATGAAAGATTCTTGCAGGCTACTTATCATGTTCGGCGTGGTTTTACTTGTGAGTTCATCCCGGCTGGTCCGCCACCTTTCACGTTCACTGCGATATTTTAGGAGTGGTGTTGGTCGAGGGTTGAGCAGCAGACTATCAGTCTCTGCCAGACCGAAGGATACAGATGCAAGCGCGGTTATTCAAGCAGCAACGTTGCATCATTTGTTATCATCTCCCTCCAAGGAGAAAGCTTGAGGATAAGTTTTTGGAGAAGCTGCCCATACTTAGTCCTTTCTTTTTTTTCGTTTACATTCATTTAGATTCTTTCTATTACTACACTGATAATGTTGTTGTGTATGTTATTTTTCAAATCCTTGCATCAATTATCATAGCCTTAGTTTAATTTTTCTTTAATTATAATTAGGTACTAAAATTAGTATATGGATACAATTTAGGTAAGTTAAGTTAAAAAAATATTTTTATATTATTTAAAATAATTAAATAAAAGTTTTAGTAAATTTTGTATTCAATTAAATCTGTAAATAACACTGGAATAGGTTCAGAATGGATATTACTAAACTCAGAATTAACTCTGACCTGCAACACATAGAATAACCCAAGATCTCCGGCGAATTTGATTTTTTTAAAAAGAATTTTCTGGATGCTATTGGTTTTATTGATCATCAAATCATATCATATTTTGTATGCTAAAATTTATATTAAAAAAAAATTGGCAAAATGAGAATTTACAACATGGGTAAAACTTCCACTGAAAATAGTGGCAATGAAGAACGTTTTTTCTTTATTCCTTCTCTTGTGGTGTAGAAAATAAAAATAGGCATCAGTTGGCTTCAGAATTTCTTTCCTCCATGCAAAGGGTATAACAAAAGGAAGAGGAAGAGAAATATTTCTGCAGATTTGGAGACGAAAGAGGAAGAGGAGTTAATAACAGACGAAGATGAACTGAAGACAAAGAGGAAGGGGAGCCGATAGCATCCCCGTTGAAGACGAAAAGGAAGAGGAGGTAGCTGCTGGCGCCAATTGAAACACTAGAGCTACATGCCTCATGCAGAAATTAATAGCTATCCTTGTGTTCTTTTTCTCTTGCTACATGTTAGCATATTTGCAACTAACAACATGAAGAGAAGTTGATTTCGTCATAGACTATGAATAAGAAGAAATGTCTCCAGATCATCGTAACTCATCAAAAACATCTGTATAATACTTGGTTCTCGAGCATGCATATCTTAATTGCAGTCGTATTCAGAACAGAAGAAGATGGAGGTAATGGTTGATGAAGGAGATGCATCAAACAGTTAATGAATGTTATTTGCAGAAGAGTGAAATTAATTGGAGGAAAACAGGACAAGGATAGCCGATGAGATGTTGAAGAAGAGAATAAGAGGAAGGTGATGCATCAGTGGTTGATGGAGGAGAAGCAGATGTGTACTACCAATGGCTACTGATTTGAAATGGAAGAAAAACGAAAATAGGTTTAAGATTTCTAGTTCAAATATTTATATTTTACATTTTAAATAAAAATAAATATAGATATACAAAAGGATAGAGTTGGAATGGATTTTTTCTCTCCAAGTCATATGTTTGGCAAGGTAGTCATCATCTTGTCAACAACTTGAGGTCCTCAAATGTCTGACTATGAAGCCTCATTTTGCTCTACCAACTTCATAAGCTTGGGAAAATCGGATTCGGTAATATTAGCATCTTTTAAAAGTAAACAACTTATAAGAACTTGCTTCAAGAACTAGTAAGTGGACACATGATATAGCTTTCCAATTTTTGGTCTATTGGTTCATATGTTGCTTGATTTGTTGAACGCTGGGATTTTCTCGAAAAGGATTGTGTCATCTTTTCTTACGACTATAATCCGGAGATCAAACTCGGGAGAAAAACTTTCATTCTCACAACTTGAAAATCATACTTTTCTTTACACATTCTAGTTGCTTTTCTTATTGGAAGATTCGACAAACTCCAATAATTATGAATATGTTTAACATTCAAATCTAAAATTTACTATTGCAGGACTTACATTAATGAGATGAAAAAGTCCTGTTCAAGAATTAAGTATACAGAGTGGAAAACGCTAACCAGGTGAAAGCTCTTAAAAAACAAGCCTTTCTCAGTGCGATGGAAAATTTTAGTTGGATTAATAAAAATGTGTCTGGAAGTGTTACCAGGAGCTTGCAGAATAAAGAGAAAACCTCTTATGAAATGAGAAAGAAAAGAAAAAAGGAGGATCCCATGATTTTCAACACGAACCACTCCTGCTGCAGTAGCAGCAGCAAAGTTTCATCATATAAACAAAATTCTAAATATTTATTTTTCATTTTAAAGTAAATGATGTTATGGAAGTTCAAGAGCTGAAAACCATTGTCAAGGAAACAAGTGCAATAACTATCTATTATACGATCATTTATATTTCACAAGCAACATCCTCCATCAACAATACTCTCATTTTTTATGCTATATACTGCATAAAATATTACTAGTTAGTTGATGGGTGACATGCCATGGCAATGATTAACATCCCCACAGGCATTAGGACCCCTCAATACCTTATCCCTCTAAAGTTCCATGTGAGTTGCAGTTGGCACCTTCAAATAAGGCCAAAGCTTACCCAAGAAAGTTACGCATATGCAAAAATGACAGATCAGTCTGATTCAGAAGATTAGAGACAAGGAGATGCTAACCTCTGAATAAAAGAATATAGGTCCTATTCCTCTGTAACATTATTTTTTTGGCAGCAATAACTTGATTTTCTTTCTTCCAAGGGTTGTCCTACAGGCAAGATGGTTCAGTTGGGACACTCCTACTCTTAGCTGGTCAAGAACGTATTTTGATTTGAAATGAAAAAGAGGAGGAAGCCTATATTTTCTCTTTTATAGCATGAATGAAGTAAGCTTCTGAAACTAAACTATCATCTGCAACCTTTTACAAATACAGTTCTGCATAAAGTAAGCTTCTGAAACTAACTTTAGAATAATTGCTGAGAGGAAAAGCTCTTTGAAGAGCATACTTCCATTCCCCTGTAAAGGTGGACTAAGTACCAAGATATAGAACCAAGCAGCCGCAATTTCCAAGTTCTCCTTCTACCTTCCTTCACCTTTTTCTCTTATTTTCTTGCAAGCTTGAAAGAGGTAGGTCCATGGCAGTATACTCTTTCAAGACAGTCCTTGAAAGAGATCCTAATTATTTCCTTGGATCATTTAACATGTTGGTTGTGATAGGGGGTTCTAGGTAAAAATAAAACAAAACATCAATTACAAAATCTCAACAAAATAATTCAAATCATTTGCTTGGGATTCTATAGCTTCTGCTAAAAATCCGAGTTGCCCCCAACTAACCCAGTTTTTTCCAAAGGAGTTTGGGGCCACCTCACTGAACATTAGAACATTTGGCATATATTTGCAATTCAGAGTATCTTTGCCCTTTATTATGTTGTAACTAGTTATTATGACTGACTGAGCAATTGCTCCTAAATTGGGACTACGGGGTAAACATCTAAAATAGAATTCAAACCACAAACAATGAAAAAGTACATGGTAATAGACATTAAGGGGCCCCATCCAAATAGACCATCGTACACCAACTCAAATAATGATGAATCACATCAGGAGGCAATTGAGGAGAGATACCACAAACCCTTCAGAGCGCCTTTTTGTTACCTTGGATAATTACCAAGTTGCTCCATCTGCCAGCTTTCATGAGGAGCAACGTGTTCATGGAAAGGAGTGTATTGCTGCAAAAAGGGGGGGAAAGTTTAGATTTCATTTATGCAAGACTCCATTTCTCACAATGAAAACATCTTTATGCAAAGCATGAAAAATATTTGCCCCCCAGCCACTAGTGAAACTCTCATCCATTAGCTTGTCATGGAATGTATATACACAATCAGGCCAAAAAGAGCATCTCAGAGGAAGCGGCAAAACAAAAATTATGTTCAATTATTGCTCTCTTGCTGCAACAATATGAAATGCCAGAGCACCAGACATGAAATGATTGCATGGACATAAGAAGTCCCCTTTTCTTTAACGTTCATTTGAGAAGAAAAAATGATAAAAATTCCCCTCTAAATTAATTATTTTAATGTTCATCTGGTAACAAATCTAACAAGCAGATTTATGTCTCTTTAATGGTAATTCAGCCAAGTTTTATTGGATAATTTTCTAACAGTAGCCTACTTCAGTCAACATTTTTTCAAGAAACAATACGTCAGTGAAGCACATGTGACAGTTAAGCTTGCAACTGGCGGTGGACCATGCATTTACCCTTATTCAAATCATGTTTTCTTCCCGGGAACAAGCTAACCTGAAATTAATTAGGATAGTGAATGAAAAGGTTGCTACAGTTTATACCTCCATTTTTTCCAAAAGTTCTCTGGCTGTTGGAGCAGAGACTACTATATGCCGAGCACCAGGCTTGATAAAACCTTCTGCAACACCATTATCAAATAATGCAAGCAAATTATTGTAGTAGCCATCTACATTTAGCAGACCCACCTGTAAATGGTAGTAGAAAATTATGAACTTAATATGTATTGCCTGGCCTACTCCTTCAAAGGACAAGCTTAATAACTATTTTTCCTAGCAGATTGATGAACTTTACTGTTTTCTTATGAATTCCAAGTTGGGACCAGGTTATCATCTCCAGTAGCTCTTCCATGGTTCCGTATCCTCCTGAAACAACAAACTCATGTTAATGTTAACCAAGTAAAGCCAAAAACTGGTGCTAAGCATATAATGGAGATTATTTCTGTTACTTATTGGGGTTTAGAAGACTGTTGACCTTAAAAAACACAACCAAACACACATTTACAGATATATTTGTTTAAGACTTATTTTTCTTTTAGCTATTAACCAAAATTTTAATAATTCTTTTGCTTCAATTCTCACTTAAATATCATCTATTTTCTTTTAATTACTATCATATACCTGATATATAGAAGTGCATCATAAGTTTCAGACATAAATCAATTCCATCCCAGGCCTCAATCTTTTAGAATGGAACTCTTATCTTCAAGGATTTCAAGCTCCGGGTGGAACGTATACATACATGAAAACTACAGCATATTCCTACCTCCAGGATATCCGAATAATTAAATAAAAAGAAATAGTAAGAATTGAATAGGAATTGAATAGAACAACACAAAAAGAACATTACCAGGAAGAGCAATAAAGGCATCAGCCTCTCGGGCCATCTCAGCTTTACGCTCATGCATGTCTGATACTGTTCTTACTTCTCCAACAGTCTGGCCAGATATCTGTCAAGTTTCAAATGCTTATTACTAAAACTTATTGACCCACCAAATTTGCAACTCAAGTATGCAGGCATTTCAACCATTGAGGCTAGAACTAACACTGTAGAGGGCAGGGAATATTTTTTCTCCAAATTTATCCCGTTAGAAACTTGAATGCTGATAAGTTTCTTTTTTTGATAAAATGATACAGTACCTATTAATATCAATTTGCAACATCAAGCATTTGTGCTGCATCGTTAAGAATAATACTAGATCATTTAATAGAACAGAAAAATTTGAATGCATGTCAGAATCACATAAATCTCAAGCAATAGTGACTTCAATTGACAGACCCTCAGCTTTTAAGGAAATAGAAAACAAATCAATAAATAAATAGAAGTTCCATATATTAAGAACATAAATACCTCAAGAGGCATGAGAGCTTTTGGAATAATCCTGAATGTGAAAAGTGGCCGTTAACTTAGTGAAGATGGCCAAGGAAATATTTTCTTTGCCTTATCTGATATTGAAAAAAGGCAAAAAGAAAAAAAAAAGTAATGAGCTTTAAAGTTTGCAATTTACCCAAGAACATGACAACCGCCATCATACACTCTCTGGGATATCAAACCCATCAACCCAACACTTCCACCACCATAGACCAAGTCTATCTTCCTCTTCACCTGCAATCCAAACTAAACAAAAGTTAAACAAAAAAAAAAAAAGGCAGGAACAAATTTCACCAGAAGCAACCATTTTAATTAAGAGGAGAAGCCAAGGCACATTGATGATCCATTTCAGTAAATAGGTTATAACAAATTTTATAATAGAATACCCAATTGAAGCTGATAAATATATACAAGAATGGCCAGAGTTTTGAGAATGAGCACCCCAAACCCATAAGCAGTAGGATTACCAAAGAGAACAAATGCAAGTCATAAAACTCAATGATGCATTCAAAAAGTCTTTAAGAAGCTAATCTTGTTTAAACAAATACCCACACAAACACACACACATATATATATATATATCACATCATCCTATAAGCAAGGCTCCGTAGGGTCAGGCACCACAGTGAAACCATCTCAGGACAAAAAACAAACATCGTGAGCAAAATTCATAGTCCCAATAGAAGAAGAACCATAAAGTGAACCAGACCCAGATAGCATAACAAACCAGTTCATTGCCTAATTCAAGAGCAGCATCACTGAAGACTTCCCTGTGGCCGGAGTTGCTTCCACAGAACACACAAACCCTCTTGAACTTGATTCGAGTCTTGTCTTCTTCCATTCAAAATCTCTATCGTTTTGCAATATTCAGTCGCAGACCATTGCAAGAAAAATCAAAACACAAACCACAAAATTTATATATCTACACACACACGCGCGCGCACACACACACACACGAGCAGAAAAAGGAAACAAACCTTGCAGAGAAAATATATAGTTTGCGGATACTACTCCAAAAATTTTGGAAGATTAATCAATAAATAAAAGAGACGGAAATAGAAAACCAGACTGTGGTCGATCTTAAATTGAATGATAAAAGGAAATACAAATTGCAGAAATAAAAGGGTCTTATATACCAGAAGAAGCAAACATGAGAAGCCCACATGCTCCATTCCCTTTCTAATCCAACGTCTCTCTGTCGGCTTTTGGATTTAATATTCTTTATATGTAATATATATGTGAGTAAATATAATATATATATTAGAAAGCGAAATTATTTGTTTTCCCAAGTCAAACACAATTTGCCAAATTAATATATATTTATATTATATTATCTTCTGAAAGTGGGAGGAGACTAGAAGAATTAAAAAATATGCCTTGCAGAGAAAATGGCTGAGAAAAAGAAACAGGATGATTCTTTTGTCACTGTCACAAATCTTTTCTTTTTTGTTTTAATTCATATTCTGGGTATGAAATAATCGTTGAAATAATAAAAAAATAAGGTGCTAAAAAATACTCATAAAAATGTAATATGGATTAATGATTTATTTCTTAAAATAATTTAATTTATATATATATAAATAATATGTATGATATTCATTCAGAAATATTTTTTTTTATTTTAAATAAAATATGATATGAAACTCAAAAGTAATTACAAAATAACATAATATAATGGATGAATATTTTTCTTTAAATTCAATAATACTTCAAACCATCTTATATACATATGATCATATAATATCATGAATTAAATATGAAATAAATTAAAAACTAAAAGCTTATGGAAGGAAAAGTTATATTGATATCTATAAATTATTGAATTTATAAGTTCATAATACTCATTATTAGATGTCTATTATATAAAAAATGTACCTTATAAAACCTTTTTAAGAAACATAATAGAAATTTATAATTTCTTAGGGGAAAAAAAAAAAAAAAACTTACATTGTTAAAAAATTTACCAAAAAAACCAAGTAGGACAAAATTTGGTCAAGAAAACAAAATAATAACTAATAAAAAATATCATATTAGTTATTTCATACATAATATTTCAAATATAATATATTAATTTCTAAAATATATAAGATGTTAATATGAATTTATTTATGCAAAGATTCATAACTTAAATGAAAATAAAGTCATAAATCAAATGCGGAAACGTATAATAACGTTAGGGTTTACATTCCTTACATACTACTTTAGAATACTCAATAGGATTATGAAAATGTCTCTTCTAAAAGAACAAACGAATATCAAAGAAATAAACGAAAAACAAATAACCAAGTAATCATAGGACAACCTTCACTAGTTCTTAAAGGGAGTTCAGGTAGTGAATTATTCACAACCTCCTTGTTGATCAGGATCTAGATCTTTGTACTCTTGATATGAAATAGTTAATGAATGAGTGAGCTACACTAGCCTAGTAAGAATATCACGCTAATAACAGATACGGAAAATTGAAGATTGATAAAAATCAGAAAAACAAACAATAGAGTCCTTAATTTCATGTAAATTCATTTACTATAAAGAAAATCACTTATTCCATATTGTGTAACAAGTCTTTCTCCAACAATAACTTATAAAAACTCATATTCATGTCCTCTTATTTATCATATATAAGATGACAAGAAACGATCATTTTATATTTCTACCCAATTACCGGTACCCCTGGGGGTACATCGAGATGTCTTCCTACTCGTGAACTCAATATCCAATTAAACAATTAACCGACTGTCCTCATACCCCGTTCGGTAATGAACGCCAAATATTCTACCATCTCGATACCCTGTCCGATATGAAAGTAAACCATATCTCCCAAACCTTACTGGTAAGGGTATTTTCATCCCAATCCGATCGAAGTAACGTTCACGGTAGGATTCCCTATGTACCGGGCTCGTCCACCCTTTCTTGGGTACCCAGTAAGTCTTTCATATATAGATTTTCATTAGCATAACAATCAACCATTAAATAATCATATCTCATTTTATACTCACCGTTCATTTAAATAACAATATAGTTTAACACAGCCAAATAACCAATGACCGGAATACTTACACACAATGCAGGGGAAACAGATAACAAAATAACTAAAGAGACCCTAAAAACTATCAATTGAATTACGCACAGTATAATAGTAAATAGATATAGGTAATACATAAAAATGAACAGGAAATCGAGACGACCGTGAACCAACCGGTTCCGTCTCCACTACTGACCTATAATTATTTTTAAGTTCTCTAGTTTTTCACAAAAATATACAATTATTAATTATTAAGCCTTAATTTACCGTAACAGAGAAAAGAGTGAGGGATCCTTACTCGAATCGGTGTCCAAAATACTGAATTTTCTACTGCACCTATTGACGGTTCTCGGGTTTCTTGAATTATCCATGCGAAATCCAAAACACTAGTCATGTACCTAAAAATACCCTAGGAATAAAAAATAAGTGTAAAAAATCCTTTCCAACCAATTTTGGCATTCCGACACAGCGACAGCGTAGTGCTCCGGCAAGGACACCACCGGCCGCGTGGTGGTTTGCCTCAACTTGAGCTAGTTTCAGCCGGCTTTATACATATTTCTGTAAAAAATACATTAAGGGCCTCGGTTGGCCGAAAAAATCAGAAAACGATAACCTACAGGCGATAGGATTTTTTGGGTGTGGCGACTTCGCTGGCTTACCTTCGCAGCTTGGAGTTTTTTTTGGTAAACCTGTAAAAAATAGAACGGTGAACACAACGATAAAAAAATCCTACGAAACAGAAAATGGGAAGGGGCTCATCGGAGGAGGTTGCGAGTTTTGCCCATGGCACCGTCGCCGAGCTTTGCCCATAGCACCGTCGTCGAGCTTTGCCCATGGTTTCTAGCTCACCTGTCATTCATTTTGCTCTAATATGGCCATAGGGGTACTTGAAATCGAATTTTGAGGGGGTAGGAGAATATTTACATTTTTTAGCGGTCGGAGGTAGCTTCGGTGCCGCGACAGTCGACTCCTTTTTTTGGCAACTAGTTCTTCTTCTCCGGTAGGAGGCTGGCGGCTATGGTTTGGGTTCAGTGTGATGCAAAATATTTATACCCATCTCACGTTAATTTGTACCCTTCATCACATTTGATATCGACCGTCTAATCGCGTTTAAAGATGAAATAAATCTGAACCGTTTATCGCGATTTGATATTGACCATCCGATCACGTTTAAAAGAAGAACAAATTCAGGTCGTCCACGTGCGCGAGATTGATCCTGGGCTATTAGATCGTGGGGCACACGGATTGCCCACATGACATCCCGCGTGGCACTGATATCAGCGCGACTTGCCACGTGGTGTACTTTGGTTCGTCGAGGTTGCTGACTGGACAGTCCTACATGGCAAAATTTTTTTTATTTGCACTCTAACCCTCAGTTTCTGATTTTTCTTTCAAAAACACCACACAAACCCAAATTTTCATCCTTTTTTTCTAAAATTATTTTCAATTTCATCCATAACATATTTTTTTCCATAAATTCAACAAAAATTAAAATAAATTAATTTAAAAATAAATTTTTTACATATTTAAAATGTTGAAATTAATCCTGAGCCAAATTCCAGGCTCGAGTATTACAACTCTCTCCCCTTAAAAGAAATTTGGTCCATCGAATTTATCTCCCTCTCACTCAATCAAATAATCGGGGATACTAGAATCTGAAGTCTGATTCTAGCTCTTATGTGGTCTCTCTATGTGTGTGATTTTGTCATAGGATCTTAATAAAGAGAATTTTCTGGTTGCAGAATACTATGCTCTTTTAGTCTACAATGCCCACTAGTACCTCCTCATATGACAAATCCTCCTAGAGTAAAAGGGGCTCGTGGGCCAATATGTAAGAGGAGTCTGAGTTATACTTACTTAGCATGACACATGAAACACATTATGGACTCTGGATAGTTCTGGATGTAGTGTCAGTCTGTAGGCGACAGTATCAATTATGTCTAAGATCTCAAATGACCTAATAAACCGAAAATTTAGTTTCTCCCTCTTGCCAAAACTACTGATTCCCTTGAAAGGGATGACCTTGAGGAACACTCGATCACATTTCTCAAACTCTAAATCCATCATTCGGGTGTCTGCATAATTCTTCTACATGCTCTGAGCCATCTGGATGTTCTTCCTGATCTTAACTATTTTGGTTGTAGTCTCCTCCACAAGATCTGGACTAAATAATTTTCTATCACTCACATCCTCCCAACAGATCGGCGATCTGCATAAACAGCCATATAACGCCTCGTACAGAGCCATGGCGATACTTTCTTGGTAGCTATTATTGTATGCGAACTCTATTAAGGATAAATGATCATCCCAATGGCCCATAAAATTAAGAACACAAGCTCAGAGCATATCCTCCAGTGTGCGAATTGTCCTTTCTGATTGTCCATTAGTCTAAGGGTGGAATGCGGTACTAAGAAACAGTTTCGTTCCCATGACTTGCTGAAATTAGACCAAATCAAGAAATGAACCTGAGGTCCCTGTCGAATACTATTGTCACTGACACTCCATGTAACCTAAATATCTCCCAGATATACATTCTTGCAAGTTTATCCAATGGGTCAGTCATCTTGATGGCCAAAAAGTGAGAAGACTTTGTAAGCTGGTCAATAATTACCCAAATAACATCATGTCTCGAGTGTGCCTTAGGCAATCCTGTCACGAAATTTATTGTGATATGTTTCCACTTTCACTCCAAACTCGGTAATGGCTGAAGTAGGCCGCTTAGGTGCTGATGCTCTATCTTAACCTGCTGACACACTAGATACTTGAAAATAAAGTCGACTACCTCCTTTTTCATTATGTTCTACCAAAATGGGAGTCACGTACTTTGATAAATTTTAACACTTCCGGGATGCATGGCAAACTGTGAGCTATGAGCCTCTATCATGATGTCCATTTTCAGTTTACTGTCACACGGAACAAATACCATGTCCTAAAATCTGAGTAACCCATCAGCAGAGACTCGAAATTCTAAATTTACTCCCTATTTTACATCTTTCTTAAGAGTTACTCGGGTAGAATCGGCGGATTGAACTTCTTGTATTCTCTAGACTAACTCTGGTTGAACAGTCAGGTGAGCCAAACATGTAACTCTATTCAGGTCTTAAAA